AATATACCTATATATACAGTAAGATAAAAATGTAGAATGATAATCCCTATGGTCTAATGTGATAAAAAAAGTGATTTAAAAAAAATTTGAAAAATATTCGTCCATAGCTGGAATCGAACCCTCAACCTTCAAAGCTGCACATTACTCCCTCTAACCTCTGTACCAACAGCCCAGAACATGTAAAGTCCATCCCAGTTTGCTAATTGACCTATCTACTTCTGACTCATGGGACGCCGAAATGGACTCAGACTGCCACCTAGTGGCTATAGTAGTCACATGTTTTTCACACAATATGTGAAACACGCGGAGCGTGAGTGAAGTGTCCATTTCCAATCAGCGCCCACTGTATCTCTGACCCCCTGGCTCTGACTTCTGAGCACATCCTCAACACTGGCTTTTTTCATTAGCCAAGTTCTGATTTCTTGTCTGTCCTCCGACCTACGAGACTTCAGTGTCTGGGAATCTCTGGGCGGTGCCCACCGCATCTTGTTGGCAGCCAACCAGCTGGAACCAACCTCTTCCTCTGGGCAGGACTGAACTTTGTGGACTGGATGCGTCCCCGTTCTTTACAGTTCTTCTTTGATAAAGATTTAGTGGCGGAGAGATTTAGGTGTCTCTCCGCCTCAAAAACTGGGTCCTTTAGTTCTAAGCCTGACAATCCTGTCCACTTTGTGCAATTGTATACCATTATCAGTATTAGAGACATGGATATGTCATGAGAAGGGGATGGACCAGGAACCAAAGAGATATAAATTTAACTCTATGAATCAATTCGGCAAGTCAGAACAAATGAACCAGAATTTTAAGGACACAGATGAAAATAAAATACATTTTAGAAACCTATGAAATCTGGAAATATTTTTACAAGGAAATGATAAGAAATATAACACCACAATTTCAGAATATTTTTTATCAACAAAACAATTATTGATGCTATAACTGTAGTAGTTAGAACAGTTCTCGTATGTTGTAAATGCTGGCCCAAAAACTTGCAGATAGGATTCCTGATCCTGAAATAAGTATTCAAGTTTGTTTTGTTTGAAGATGACAAAAAAAAAAAAAATCTGTACTGTGCTTACAATAGATCTAGGATGATATCACACCAGAAAATGATATGCTAAAATAGTTGGTTTGACAAAGTTAAATTGTCCTCAACTTGCACCTCTTTCGGATGTGATTATCTATAAAATGGCGGTTACTAGCAGTTATCATTCCCATAGGATGGCTTCAGATTGTTTCTCCTCTACCTTCTGGTAAGTTTCATATGGCTGATAATTTGCAACTTATAGCTGATAACAGCCACTCTGGATGTGTCTAAAATTGTACGTTTTATTTACAATTTTACAACATACTTTTAGTTTTTATCTACTTACAACTTGCCTTTCTGTATATACTTATACACACAAACACCTCCTGAATTTTTAGGAACATAAACATTCAACTGTTTCATATATCATAAAACTTTGTATGGTACGAGGAGAATTTTGAAGAAACAATATCCTAGAAACCCTTTTGATACAGCTTTTAATGCCACAGTTTTTCCACATTCAAATTGGTGGATAAGGACAGAATGTGACCTTATCTTTCCTTTCTAAGATTCTTGAAATCGGTGTTATTGTTATTTAACCTTTTATGTCATCATTCTCTTTCCAGTGAGGCTCCCAGTGATCAGTCTCCCAATCAAACCCAGCTGGACTCCATATTTATGGTCTGTATATTTAAAATTACTTTTTTCTGAGTTTTGTCCATACGTCCGTGCTGCGCTTTGTAGACCAATGAACTGTGAGTCTGTCATAGGTGATTCTGATGTTTGGCATCATGTTTTTCTTCAGATGTATACCCATCTGACCATTGGTATATGTGGTTGATGCTGAGTCAAACAGACTTGGTCTCCAAATATGCAAATATGCTGGGTCTCCAACTTTTGGCAAGAGGCCAGATATACCCGGGAAAAAGCACCTAATAATGTCTGCCTTAATAATTATTCTGTTTCAGGTGCTGGAGGACTACATTGTGACTTTTATAAAAAATGAGTTAAGGAGGATCCGTGATGAACTAAGTCCATTTGACCTAAATTGTTCAGAGAGCAAGAGATATGATGAGCAGCTAGAAGATGAGGATGAAGAGAAATCCAGAAGCAGCAGAGAGGCAATGGTGAATATCACTATAAGCTTTCTGAGGAGGATGGGGCTGAAGAAACTGGCTGACCAGCTGCAGAGCAGTAAGATGACTTGTTTTATGTTTAACCACCTGAATAAAAGACACATTCCTGCTTGTCTAATGAGACATTCATACCAAACATGATTCCAGATTCCATTTTCCACCCCATTCACATGCTGTTGCTAGGAGCACCAGAAGACCAGGACACGGGGCTAGTTAGAGAGACCACTAGAGCTGGGCAGAGGTGGCAGCCCAGGACCAGCTATGGATCTAATGGAGGACAGTGGAGAAACAAAGAAAGAGAGTGGATAGAGAGAGTACCAATTGCCTTTTCAGCCTGACAGACTTGCTTTGCATTCACAGCAGTGGTGTCAAAAGTTCACACATTTGTTACTCAAGTATAAGTACAGATACTGTAGTTTAAAAACACTC